AGGGTGGGGGATATGGAGAGTTGTTGAACAGGTATAAAAAAGTTCTGGAAACTGGATGTATAACAATGTAAGTATACTCAACAGTACTGAGCAGGACGCTTAAAGATAGTTAAGATGGTAAAGCTTATGCTAAATATATTTTACCACCATTTTAAAAGAAGAGATGGTAATGCCAGCTTCATAGATTATAGTCAAGAGTAAGGGGAGATAACAGATATTACACAGTAAACGCAGGGCCCAGCCTGTAATATGTACGCATTCTGTGTACAGTATTCATGCAGTTTTTTTAGTAATCAGGTACGTGTGTTATGTGTGAATGGTTGTTATTTCACTTAAAATGGTTTTGTAAACACTTCTGTAGTTTTTATAAATCACGACACTATCAGTGTAATGGCCAACACAGAATTTTACTTGCTGCCCCTCAGTTTTACTTCACTGCCCTCTTGTGCCTATATTACTAGGCCAAATGATGTGAGCATTTTTCATCAGCTGTTATTTTGTTATATGATGTGGAAATAAATAACTTGAAAATGTAAAGCTGGACCTTCAGGAAAGGGTCATGTTATACATAGTAAGAATTATGCCAGCACACAAATTCCTTGCCAATCACTCAGCATTCAAACGCTCAGGGGAAAAATAGAACACAACACATTTTCACAGGGGTGATGTTTAAATTAAATGGCCTGATTAAAACAAAAGTATACACACCCACACACATATAGTACTCGTAATGCTCTGGTTGGTATTAAATGTCACCACTCTACATAGAGAAATACAGATACTAATGTATTTGTTTGGGCATTTTAAACTAATATAACCAGGGCCTTCCATACTCAAGAGAAGAGTATCGTTTAACTCAAACACTTCTGAAAAAGTATAGGGTTTTACGTTTTATGTGTGTGTGCTTCCCCAAAATTTTATCTTCCACAAGTAACAGATCCTCCATCCCCTTCCCCAACTAACACTTCCCAGCCTCCCTAGCAGCTAGGATGGCCATGTGGTTAAGTAAGTTCTGTGTGATGAAATATAAGCACAAGTTACATATGCCTTTCAGAAAAATGCTTTAAAAGGGAAAGGGCATGCTTTATCTTTTCCCTGCATTCTTCCTCCTGCTGCATGGAACTGACAGAAGCATCACTCCTCCCTCAGAACCACACATCCCCCAGCCGCTCCGAGGCCCATGGGTGTCATACAGCTGATTCTCCCCAAGAAGAGACTTGAAGCAACTGCTGTTCCTAGAACTCCCTGGAGATCCAGAACATAGCTCAGAGAGGTGTGTCCTTCTGAAGCCTCCCTACCTAGACAACACTATCAAAAGAACACCTCTCCCCATCCCGTCTGGCCTGCAAAAAAAGAGATGACCCAAACAGCCTCTATAGAACCAATGACATCTCAGAGAATGTCCCCTGGTCCCTGGTCCTGAATCCTGGGGAAATGGGACCTAGCACAAATTCACTTAACTTCTTTGAGTTTCCATTTTACCTTTTATAAAATGGAAACTAACCTACCTGTCCTATTCTGCAGGGTGTTCTGTCCAAGTAAGACTATGGATGCAAAAGCATCTTAATTTACAATGGAATCAAAATATAATGAAGGCTAATGACATTTAGAGCTACAGTCAAGAAAGACCAGAGTGGCTGGAACAGACAGGAAGAATTCCAGGAACTTACCCTGAAGATATCCTTATAAAATTATACAGAGATTTGTGTCCATGAGACTCACTGCAGCTTTATTTATAGCATTTAGACATAATATAAAATAAAATAAGGTACATCAATATAACCAAATACTATGTAGTTAATAAAAAGAATGAGGTAAGTGATAAAAGAAATAAAGAACATAAGCGTATCAGCTGGTGTTATGGTGCCAGGACTAAAATTGGAAGTGGTTAAAAGGGATGACCTCACCTACCAGTTAAATGAGATGAACAAAGTAGAGAAGAGACTACAGGGGATCAAAGTCGCCCACACACCTGGGAGATGAGAGGCAAGTGGAGAAGTGTGCAGATCACAGACAGCAAGTTACCTCCTCCGTGCAGAAGTGGCCACCTAGGAGAAGAGTTCAAATCCCAGCAACCAGAAAAGCTCAAACCTGGAACCACCAGGAACCAGAAAGTCTCCGGACTGGATGCCAGTCAGGAGTGGGGAGAGATGCTGGAATGAAAACGAGCAGCGGCTGGGAGGACCTTCAGTCTCCTTCCCTGGTTGGCCCCCGAAATACCAGCAGTCAGGTAATAACCTTGTTTCAGGAGGGATTTTTCTCTGGATAACAGACACCTGGGGGATCCACCAAAATGAATGGGTCTCTGTTTAGTGACTCTCCAGCTGACAAACTGTCTAGACACAGAGTATTTCATCAGGCTGTTGTGCGGCCCATGGAAATAGAGAGAGACTAGGAAGGCTCAACAGATAACAGATAAGGGATGTGGTTAACGTAAAAAAGAGGAGACCAAGAAAATAAACTGAAGAACTTGAGGGGAAATAAGAGATAGAGCAAAAGAAAACAAGGAAAAAAAAAAGGCAACAAACCCATCAATTAGTATCCTCAGGGAAAAACAAGAACAGGGTGCTATTAAACAAGGATAATGAGGGGCGCCTGAGTAGCTCAGTGGGTTACAGCCTCTCCCTTCGGCTCAGGTCATGATCCCAGGGTGCTGGGATCGAGCCTGCTTCCCCCTCTCTCTCTGCCTACTTGTGATCTCTGTCAAATAAATAAATAAAATCTTAAAAAACAAAACAAGGACAATGAGAGAAGAAGATGCTTTCAAAATTCTAGGAGACAGAATTTTTACTCTGGAATTCCATGCTGAGGGGAACTATCAAGCTATAGGAGCAGACTATATTAGGGTAGACTAAAGATGTTCAATCACATAAGGACTTAGAAAAACCTACCTCCTATGAATGCTTTCTTAGAAGTTCCTAGAATTAAGATTCCACCAGAAAAAGGGAGTAAATATAACATGGGATCCAGGAAAGAGGCAAAGGAGGGTCCCAGAAGGCCTAGAGAACAAATAATCTAGACTAGAGCAGGAGGTCACAGAGGGCCACAAGATGGATGTCTCAAGAAGAGGGCAACTGTTTGGCAATGTGAAAAACAGAAATCAGATGGGTTTTATAAATCTGTCAAGAGTTTGGGAAGAGGGGTGCCTGTGTGGCTCAGTGGGTTAAGCCTCTGCCTTTGGCTCAGGTCATGATCTCAGGGTCCTGGGATCCAGGCGCATTGGGCTCTCTACTCAGCAGGGTGCCTGCTTCCCCCTCTCTCTCTGCCTGCCTCTCTGCCTACTTGTGATTCCTCGCTCTCTGTCAAATAAATAAATAAAATATTAAAAAAAAAATTTGGGGAAGAATTGGTACATGACTACCAAACCAATGAAGTAATTAACGAGGGACCAAGACCAGATCTGTATTTATTTTACTTGCCATCAGTGAACAATAATTAAACAGTGAATACTGATTTAACCAACAACTGTGGTGTACCTATACTGGGAGAACAGAGGAAGAGAAACTGGGGACAGGAAGCGGTATTAGAATGCTAATTTAAATTCTCATTTTCTATAAGAGATCTGTAAAAGATGTAAACCGATAAATCAGGAAATACCATAAACCTACATTTAAAAAAGAAGACAGATATCCCAAAAAAACCCCGAAAAGTTTGGGAAGTAAAACTCTAGGCTGGGGTAGGACACTGCTTTTGTGTTAAAAGCCTTGAAGTACTCTTAATTTTTAAAAAAATATGTTCAAGAACTACTTTACAAATAACAAAAAATAATTAAAAAAAAAAAGAGAGAGAGACTATGTGAGGGACTAAGGTGAGGAAAATTTATTGCCCTCCTTTTATTCACTTCTGTATTGCTTGAATCTCTTAAATCATATGCATACAGCATATGGAAGAAAACATTAGATAGTTCTATACACTGACACAGCCTAGCCAAAGGCAACTAAAAATTAAGGCTGAAAAATAACTGATTTAAGAAATTCTAAAGAGTCTCTAAGATTTAGTGACTTGCCATGTGTTTAATCACATGGAATAGAACATTGCTGGTACATATAAACAAGAAAAATTACAAAGCTAACTTATGGAAATCTATTCTCAAGACCTAGTAATGGATTTAGTAAGTCACTCAGGGACAGGTTAAATCTGGGAAGTGCAGAAGTCTAGGAAAATTCCAGATATATGTGTATGATCATTCATGAAAGTTAATTATTATTATTTTGTCCCACTTGTGAACCAATAGCACCTACTCCCCTCCTCCTTTTTCCTATTAACTGCAAATGGTTAAAATGCTCATTTTTATCACTGGTGTGTCATATCCCTTAAAGGTCTCTGATCGAATTTTCTCTTCAACAGACTCAAGCTTTAAGATCAAAGCTGCTCATTATATATCTGGCATCACAGTATTTACTTCAGAACAAAATCTGAACCCCGACAGATCCCACTCACTTCTGAACTGATTTCTTTTTTAAAAAGATTTTATTTATTTGACAGACAGACATCACAAGTAGGCAGAGAGGCAGGCAGCCAGAGAGGAAGGGAAGCAGGCTCCCCACTGAGCAGAGAGGCCGATGCAGGGCTCCACGGCTCAATCCCAGGACTCTGGGATCATGACCTGAGCCCAAGGCAGAGGCTTTAACCCACTGAGCCACCCAGGGGCCCCTGTCCTGATGATTTTTGACAAAGCTCCAACACTGAGGCTTTTCTGAGCATGACTTTTACCTTTCCTGGGTGGAGAAAATACTCTGACACTGCTCCTGAAGTTCAGGACTTAGCTGCTCGCTCACCGGCTGTGAGAGTAACTAAGAGTATAATTAAATCGAGAGTTGCTGAAACTCACAGGTGATTCGTGTTTCTGTGTTGCCCCGCTCCGCCTCCAAACAAGGCTGACTTTACAGGCGTTTTAGAGTCTCGCTAGACACCAAAAGAAAGTGAGGCTGCCAGCGGGCGGCGGGAACTCTTGAAAAGGGGTACCCCCAGCAACACGGAAGCCACGCAACGACATTTACCTTTACTCGTCTCCGTTTTCTTCCCTTTTCTTCCCCTGGAAGCTGCTTCTCTCCTTTCTTTCGCTTTTTCCGCTTTCTGTCCTTGTGTTTGTCATGATCGTTTTTGTCTTCGAAGAGGCTTGAGTCGTGCCCCGAGCTGCCCGTGGAGAGCTCGGTGACCTCGTTCCCTCCCACTTTGAGGACCAGCTTCAAGGGCTTCTCTACATACTCTTAAACAAAAGGAGAGAGCCTGGATTACCGGCGGACGCGCGGGGCAGCGTCCACAATGCAGAGGCAGCGTGGGCAGAGGGAGAAGGGGCGCCACGGCCGCGGCGGCTTTGGGCACGCAGTGGGCGCCCCGCGAAACACCTGTTGACTGACGGACACTTGCCCCGAGGGTGTCCCGAACGCTGCGGGCCTCTGGGCGCCGTCTCACACCTCCCGGCAAGAGCCCCGCCGGGGACCAGGGATCTGGGGTTCGAATGCGGCCCCCCGCCTGGGGTATGCGCTGCCTCCGGCGGGCCGCGCCCCCTTCGCGGGTCCCGGCCTGCCCGTGGGAGGTGCGGTCCCCGGTCCGCCTCCGGAGCTCGAGAGTGGTCTCGAAGGAGCGAGGATCCTCCTCCCTCCCCCACCCCCCTCCCAAGCCCGGAGCCGCCGCGGGCCCGCCGCCCCCGCACCGCGGCCCACTCCTCACCCTCATAGAGATGTTTGTCCGACTTGTGCTTCTTGTGCTTCTTGCCCATATCCGACCGGGCCCCGGTGCCCGCCCCCCGCGCCAGGCCCAGGCCGTGCGGCGCCGCTTCCGGTCCGGGCCAGGCAAGCGGAGGGCGGGAGCGGGGCCCGCGAGACCCCGCGCCGCGAGGCAGGGGGACGGCGTGCGCCGGGCGGCGCGAGGCCCCTCACGAGAAGACGGCGCGCGAAACCCGACCGTAGCCCGAGAGCGGCGGCAGGGCTGCGAGCGGCCGGCGCGGAGGCGGGAGAGAGGGCCCGCCGCGCGCGCTGGGTGCTGTCTGCTGCCCGTGGCGGCCCCTGGCGGCTGGAGGTGGCTCTGCAACCCGCGGGTCGGGGGCGGAGTCCGAGTCGGGGGGAAGAGTCCGAGTCCGGGGGCAGAGACCGGGCCGGGGGCGGGGTTCACTGCTCAGAATCTCTTGCCTCTCTCCTCTCCTCTCTCTTCCTTCCTCACCTTTCTCTTTCTCTCTTCTACCTTCTCTTCCTCCCTTCCTCTCTTTCTTCCCTCCGTCCTTCTCTCCGTTTTTCTGTCTCTGTCGATCTGATTGTCCGTCTCCCTCTTTCTCTCCTTCCCTTCCTCTCTCTGTCTCTGTCTCATTGTCTCTCTGTCTCTCCCATCCTCTCTCCAACTGTTTCTGTCTGTCCGCCAGTCTTTCCATCTCTCCCTTCCGTCCTCTCTGTTCCTTTCTCTTTCCTCCCTCCCTCTTTCCTCCCTCCTCTCTCTTTCCCTCTCTTCCTTTCCTCTCTATCTCCCTTCCCTCCCTCTTCCTACCACTCTTTTTTTTTTCTATCATCCTTCCCTCTTCCCTGACTCCACACTTCTACCCCTGTCCCCCTTGTTTCTGTCTTCCCTTTGACAATATTTATTGAACCTTGTACTAGATGCCAGATCCCACAAATCCAGCACATGGGTAACTAGAAGGATTCTAATCTTAAGAACAAAATAAAACAAAAACCCTTATGTGCTGGGTCTGTAACTAAAACTGTAACTAAACTAACTAAAACAACATAAAAAAATATGAAACCGAGTGTTTTTTGGTAAAACTCATATATGGAAATAAACGTTGACGTCTGGATGAAAAGGTTCTGGTAGGGTGAAAGTGGACTGTTTTAGTTTTAGTTTTATGCTTCTCCCTATTGTTTGAAAAATTTTTCATGTACATGTTAAATTATTAAAAGCTTTTATTTATTTAACTTTTTTTTTAGATTTTATTTATTTATTTGACAGACAGAGATCACAAGTAGGCAGAGAGGCAGGCAGAGAGAGAGGAAGGAAAGCAGGCTCCCCGCTGAGCAGAGAGCCCAATGCGGAGCTCGATCCCAGGACTCTGGGATCATGACCTGAGCTGAAGGCAGAGGCTTTAACCTACTGAGCCACCCAGACGCCCCTAAAAGCTTTTATTTATTTACTTATTTATTTAGAGAGAGCAGGAGCAGGGGGAGGGGCGAAGGGAGAGGAAGACAGAGAATCTTAAACAGGTTCCACGCTCAGTATGGAGCCCAAAATGGGACTCCCACTCAGGACCCTGATGATCTGAGCTGAAAGCAAGAGTCAGGTTCTTAACTGACGGAGCGCCCAGGGCCCCAATGTTAATTTTTTTTCTAAATGAAAAAGATTGAAATACAAGTTAGAAAATAACTTGAAAAAAATGATGAAAATGTATCTATTAGAGCCATACCAACTAAGAATCCACACTAACAGCATTGCTCTTAGATGCGCATCTACTCCTTGATGTTGTTCTAAGCCTTTCTCAGTCACTCTTACCCTCAGGTGCTGAGCCCTGCTGGAGAGCTGTTATTCACATTTCTGCTCATTGGCCAAATATATTGTATTTAGCCAAATATAGTATTAAGATGTACTTATTATAACACATGCAGGGATGTTGGCTGCAAAGAAGCAATATAATGTTGATATTTTTCCACATGACAATTTCATAAGATAGGAATCACAGAAACATGCTTATTCCCGTTTTGAAGATGAGAAATGGATGCCCAGAGAAATGAGGTAGGTTGCCAGTTAGTGGTAAAGCCTGGACTCACATTCAGGTTTTCTGAATTTGAAACACAAGCTCTTTTTCATATGAATATGGGGAAGATGCCTTGACTGTCTCTACTTTTAACTTTATAATGCCCTGTGTATTTTTAAACTAAACCCATAATCACAGCCTTCTCTCAATAAAGGATCTTAGTCATTTACACTTTAGTAAGAATTTGGACCTCTGGATCATATCTTCCAGGAAGATTTGTAGCTTTAGCTTGAATTCCAATGGTAAAATGGGAGATTTTAGTTCAGGCCAGTTTGAATTTTTTCAGGAAAACTAAAAAGATTCCAAGTAAGAAGATTTTCAAGTAAAGCTTGAAGATGGGAACCAGGGATCTGATGCTATCTGGTATCTCTTTGTCTCTCTTTGTTTTGTCTCTGTGTACATTAGGCTCCATTTCTCCCCCCACCCACCCCATGGCTGAAAACATGGTTACCAGTAGCTGTTTCCAGATTAACTGGGTCAATAGTCTATTCTCTGTCAGTTTCCCCGAGGAAGAAATGCTAGAGAAGGGCTCTGATTGCCTTGGATTGGGTCACATATTTTATGGGCTGGGGAATGGGAGATTGATCCAACTTGGGTACCAAGTCTGCCCCCAGGGCCAAGAGGAGTTAGAGTCTGTGACAGCCAGGCCCCATCAGACCCTCAGGGTTAGCCAGGAAAGATAAGGTTCCTTGAACAAAGGGTGCTGCTTTTTCATGAGGGCTAGAAGTTTGTGTCTGTTACCTCTCTGTAACAGGCCTCTCGGGCATCAGCGATGTGGTCAGAGTAGGGGAAGAGAGGTTGTGCTGGGGAAGAAAACTTCAGTTGCTCTGAGATCAAGCCACCATTGCCCACTAAATACAGGGCAATGGTTCAGCTTCTCAGTCATTGGGTATCATCTTTTTCTTTAAGGGGAACTGTGATACCAACTCCCTCCTCCCCAGAGTCCTGCCTCTGCTGTAATCTGAGTTTACCTCTTTGCTTGCCATCCCCTGGTGTGTTTCCCCAGAGAGGGGGCTGGTCTCACTCCCTTCATTCCTAGCATAATGACATAACACCCAGCATAATGGCTACTACTCTCTGCAAATGCCCCTCAGAGCTAGCTCACTGTGTGTATGTGTGTGTGTGTGTGTGTGTGTGTGTGTGTGTGTGTCTTTCTTTTCTCTGACCAGCCTGGGATGGAGGAAAAGGGTCTAGTGAACTCATTCCCATTATGGAGTGAGTAGTTACCCTCTTCCCCTCAACAGAGATCCTACACAGGTCCCAAAGTGTTCCTAACAGTGAAAAAATGAGTAAGAGCCTGAAACAGAAAACACCTCACAGAAGTTCCTGAGAGATAGAAACCCTGACTTATCCACTTTTTAAAAAAATTCCTGGCTCCAGGACAGTGCCTGGTACATAAAAGTCACCAGAAAACGAGAGCTGAATGGAAACTTTCGGTGTAGGGCAGAATCTAAAGTGACCCCTGGAGACTCCTGCCTCTGGTATTTATGGTCTCCAGCTGAGTGTGGAAGGGCCTAGAGACTTGCTTCTAGCCCATGGGGAAAGGTGATGAGATGTCCCTTCTGTGATTCAGTTACTTAAGACGGTAACTTCTGTCTTGCCAGCCAGTTACGTTGCCTTCTTGGCTTGCATACTTTGAGGAAGCCTCTGGAGAGGTTCACATGCAAGAAACTGAGATCAGCCTCCAGCCAGCAACCGGCAAGGATGGAGGCTGTCAGCCCAGCAGCCCCTGAGCCATTGACTCTGCCAACAACCCCCTGAGCTTCAAAGTGAATCCTTCCTCAGTGGAGCGCTCAGATGAGGCCTCAACCCTGCCTCTCCCTTGATGGCAGCATTCAAGGGACCCTGAAGCAGAAGACCCAGGTAAGCTATGGTCAACACTCCTGACCCACAGAAACTATGAGATAATCAAATGTGTGTTCACTTAAACCGTTAAATTTTAGGGGAATTTGTTACACAGCGATAGGTAGCTTATACAAATATTATCCCAAACGGGGAACTTTCCAAGCCTGCTGCCTATCTCCATAAGGACCAAAGAAACAGCAAATGAATCACTGCCTGTGCAGGGTACTTGCCTGGAGTTTTGCACAGACTACCTATCTCCTTTTATCCTTTTCCTGGCCCAGTGAGAGGAACACTCTTGTCTTTGTCCCATAGATGAGGACACTGGAGACTTTAGAAGTCAAGTGGCTTATCCGAGGTCACGCAGCTCGCCTGCCTGGGATCTGAATCCATGTCCGCCTCCCTCCCAATGCTACATTCTAATCGGTAGCCCACACAGCTCTTCGAAAAGAGGGCCAGAAACCTCGGAAGTTTCTTCCTGCCTATCGGGAATAGTGTCAGATGGAAATAAATTCCCCAAGAGGACTCATATACTCGTCTAAACAGGTAGGAATGGATGTTTGTGCACCCAGAGGATCAGAAGATAAGGCAAAGCATGGAAACAGTTGCTAATTGCTGTTTAAGGATCTCTGGGATCCCGGGAGGCTAAGTGGACAAAGAGAACCCAGGCAATGACAGATGACCGCTGCACGGGGTGGAAGAGGGCTGTTGTGGTGGAGCTGCAGGTTTCATGACTCCTAGGTGGGGGTGGGGTGGGGGGTGGGCTTCTGACCTGGGCTGTGAGGGTATGCCTCTTGTGGCAGGAGCTAGTTGTTCCCCATAAAGTGATGCGGTCTTGTCTCTCTCATGCATCCTTATTGGCTGGAAAGGAAGAGGACAGTCTCAGGAGAAGACAGGGGTGGCTCTATATCTTGCTTAGTCTCACCCAACCCCTTCCTGCACCTGGGGGCCTCTGCCACTTCCCTTGTCATTTCCCTGCTCAAAAGTGTTTCATCGCTTCTCATTTCACTCAGAGTCAAAGCCAAATCCTTACCTTGGCTTCCAGGACCGATCTGGCCCCCATTGTCTCTCCAGCCCCACGTCCTTCCCCCATCACTGAGGCTGGCCACACTGTTCTCCTCACTTGCTTCTGCCTCACAAGCCTGCTTCTGCCCCAGGACCTCAGCCTCTGCTCTTCCCTGTGCCTAGAGCACTCTCCCCTCAACTCCTGGCCTGGATCCTGCCCTCAAAGCATCGTGGTTGTCCAGGGGGCTGCCTCAGAGAAGCTTCTGGGCCAGTGATACACAGCAGTGCCTCCTGACCCCTCACCCTATGTGGCTCTGGCTCTCTTCATGGCACACGTGGGCCCCAACATCA